AATAATGACTTGTTCGCTTAAAACTGTTTAAGCGACCATTAAAAAAAACACAATCACACACACAGCTGTTTCATTTGAGCTACTGTAGAATAATGTACAAGCTGCAACAGTCTACAAGCAAATCAGATTTGATAATCCCTGGAGCGTTCTACAAGGCCTTTTCTGCAAAACAATGTGTTCCTATAGTCGTGGATTCATGAGGCTCTTTGAATTAACCAGATCTTGGCCATTTGCTTTAAACAAAAAACCGCCGCTGCTTCTTCCTCTGAGTCCAGACCTCTCCATCTTCAGGTCTTCTCCATCGTCCGTGCGCTCTTGGTGGACCCCGACGTGCTCTGCGCCTTTCGGCCCTTGTCACTGGTACCCTTGGACGTGAAGCCACGCATGGCGCTGCTGCTGCGGCTCTGGCAGCGTGGTGGCTTGGAGCAGATCGCCCAGTTGCTGGACGTGCCGAATGAGAAGGACGTGCAGGTGGGGAGAGCTTTGATGTAGTGGACGACAACCTTGGGCATGCTGAGCTAAAGATGGACTGACTACAATACTTGGAGTACAGACACCTTGGAGATGCTTGGAGGAGTTCTTGTATGAATGAAAGACGAATTGGGATTTGCTTGTATTTGTTCTTAAGATGGAAGAACCCCCAGTAGTAAGCAGTGAGTGTTCAACAGAAAGTAGATGTTCGGCTCGAGCAGACTCAGAGGTTTTCTTGGTCGATCACACGGATGAGGATTGGGGTTTCATAGTTCATGGTATTTCATGTTTAATCATCATCAACTAAGGACGCTACTAGGGGCTCCTGGCATCGCTACTAGGAGCGATCGGACGCTACGAACGGGGCTCCTGGCCTTACTACTAGGAACAAGGAGCTACTATAGTAACAAGAAGCTACTATATACTTGAGGAGTTCGCCTTGTCGTGGGAGAAGAACACCCCGGATCCTTCCACCTCCTTCCTTCCCTTCAGCAGAGTTTCTTCGGCGCGTCCCTCAGGTGTATCGTCCTCGTGCACGGACTTTGGTCCTGGGGAACTGCCAAGAGGACTTGACCACCACAGCTGATGATGATGTACATATCGATTTGGATGATCACCTCTGGCGAGAGGAGGATGAGTTTGAGCATGAGCTGGCTGGATGTTCTTCAACATGTTTTTGGTTTTGGGGACACCATGAGACTCCGAAACCATGAAAGATTAAAGAACTTGTTCTGTAGTTGCGCACACAAAGAATGAACCGGTCTGGGAAAACTCGGACTCCTTCGGCAGCCTCCACTCTCCTGCCCGGATCTATTTGAAGTGCCTCAAAGTAGATCGATCAATTATCACAACATAATGATGTTTTAATTAATATATCATGATTATAAACTAAACATAACAATTAATGTATAGATAACTCCCACCTGTTCTGAATTTTAACATGTGTCAGTGTCAGTGTGATGTTTTGTGTTGTTGGATTCGTGTTCATCATTTTTCCAATTTCGGAAGACATCCACCGACCGCATTCCGAGACGTCGCACAACTTGAGGTGGTTGGAAGCCTCCGAAGCCTCGGCTTCACGCGCCTCGGCCGCCTCGGCCGCCTCGGCCGCCTCGGCCTCCGCCTCCGCTCGCGGCTCCGCGAGCCGCGGCGTGCCGTGCAGTTGCTTCGGGCGCAGCGTGCTGAATGCGGACGTGAGGGTCTTCCGACTGGGATGAGAAGCGGGCCTCTTTAGATGCCCAGATGAGGCCATGTGATCCAGGAATCCTATGATGAGGATAATAAGAAGTGAGCAAAGAGTCATGAGTCATGGTCAGCTATATATAGTTGTTGAAATGGCAGGTCTCGAGAAGGTAAGGAGCCAGTCAAGCAATTTGCAGCACTGGTTACATACACTTTGCCGGGAGATGGGACCTTGGGATAGTAGAGTCGTAGAGAGCCCAGCACACTCCTGCAGGTCAGGGCTTCCGGTCGCCCAGTGTTAGTTTTCACTCGAACAGGAATCCTGGTGACCAGCGACCATGTACATAGGGCTTCCGCGGACCGCAAGATGCCGTCCGACGAGTCGTCTCCGACCGTGTCGCCCGTGGGTCGCCCGTCCCGGCGTTCGAAAAGCCCGGCAGTCACGTGCGCGCGAGCTCCCACCAGGTCACTGTCAGTGTGAAACACCAGGTCACTGCCCTAAGAAATGGACACTTCCTTGGACAAAACATCTATGAATTAAGGATCTGCACCGCTGCATGGTGATTTGAATTAGAGTCCGAACAGATGAATCCAGGCACTCACGGGTCACCAGCCATGATGTTGATTAATGCTGGTTGCACGAGCCTCTATGTCAACCTGATCCTTCGAGGATCCACAGGGAAATACTCAGACTTTGATGCTTGTGGGACCACTGGGAGCAACTAAAGACCAGCTTTCAGAATGAACTTGCTTATTGCTTGGTGGATTGGTGCCGTAGAAACCAGTATTTCAACTTATCTAATTTCCTAGTTTGAAGGCACAGCAGGGATCTGGTTTGGGGTGCATCAGATTGACTGCAACTGTGTGGAAAAACCTTGCTATTGGCGGTATCGGGTCACCAGGTCCCTGTTAATCCTCCAGTAAATAAGATTAAATAAGAAACGATTGTACCAAGTCATGTGTTTCTGGGTCCTTGCTGCAGTCCCACTTGACTTCGTTTGGGTCGCGAGATGGGATAGAATCGATCATGATCATCCATGATCTACGACTGACTGGTCCTGGGCCCATTTAAGCCCCAAGGGGGGCCCTGGCGGAACGCTCAACAGCAGGTATACATCGATCGGAAGTGGCCAACTCCTTTTCGACCTGGAGCTGATCGAAAGGACCGGCATGTCACCCGGGCGGACAAGCCGGCGTCTCGACACAGCCCGTGGCATAGCCTGTGGCCTTCCAAGAGAGAGAAGAAACCCATTGTTTGAGGAACAGTCAATATATGAAATTGACTGTTCCTCAAACAATGGATTTCTTCTATTATGTCAATATGATTTCTTCATATTTCTTCCCAATTTTGGGTGAGTGAATGTCCATCCAGACCTTGATGTATATCCGCCTCTCAGGCTCTCTCTTAATGAACTGATGACAAAACATCCGATGCCCAAGGATCGATGACCATTCCACCGACATAAGAATTCCATGGATGGATTACCACAGATCACTCTTCCAAGGATCTATATATATATATATGTTTTACAGCAAGGATTTACAGCCTCTTTACAGTTTAAAGAGGAGGGATTCAATACTTTGGAACGTGATTTCAGTTTGGGTTCTTTCTTAAGCAATGTAGTGTACAGAAAAAAAAGAGTTTGACCCGTACTGATTCATGCAGCCAGAACTGCGAGAACCCTTTGCTTTGATCCACTAGCAGGATGCCAAAGCAGCATCAGAAGGCACAAAGCACTCACGGCAAATCCCTCCGTCGCCCTTTCGGGCCCAGGAACCTGGCTTTCGGCCGCTTTCGGAAGCCACGCTCCGTCAGGATCCGTTTCCTGGGCATCCGCATCGCTCAGATCTCCCTGGTGGACCCCCTCTACGCTGGGTCACCGCCATCCGACCCTTGACGAAAGAGGTCGGAGAGGTCGTCCCGTCTGCTTCACTTCGCTCGGGCCGGAGTTTCTGGTAAAGCGGTGAAGCGGGTCGGAGGTGAAGAACCCAGAGCGGGCGCTCTGGGGTCCCGAAGGTCGCTATGGGAAGGGGCTGGTGGAGAAGAAAAGTGTTTCAGTTGAGGATCTTAGAGGTTTGTATGATTTGATAGTTTCTGAACAGAAATTGGGGATTCCTGTCGCATTGGCCAGAGGACACTTTGAAGCTGCCCCTGCTATAAATTGGTAGCCTGTTTCACTGTGAACCACCCACTGAGGTAGATGTCCGACGGGCTTTACGCCACTTGGATGAGCTGGTGCCACGCCACACATGTCCTCTCTGTGCATCAACCATCGAGACATATTGGATCCATATTACATCCATTTGGATCCCAAACTATAATATTATGTAAACTATATATGTTTAAAATCTATGTTCGTACGGGGTTTCTCATGAAGAGATACCTGTAAAAAAAAGTTGGGAACCATGTCATGCCCCATTGTTCTATTGCTGTTAAATCATTTATATATCACCCAAGAAGACTCCCAGATCCTCCAGCTCCATGCTGGTCATCCAGAAGGTTTCGTTAGCCTGACTTGGACAGTTTGGAATAACGCAGGTAAATGATCCTGTGCAGAAGCAGCGGCATCATATCAACAACATTGATTGACTTCTATACAGCGGAAAATATATCAAACAACAGATTGTTATGCCCTTATCCAGCTTATCCAGCAATAAATAACATCACGTTGAGTATTGGACCGTTCTAGCCTTTTTATCCGTGCAGTGCGAGTTCGTTTTTGTATAGCTGCATGAGTTAATTGAAAGTCTTTGCAGCATTGGCATGGGTTTGTTTTGCTTAACACGGCCATTATTTACTAAGCTTACATATTGTTCATCATCACGATTATCAACGTCATATATATATATATATCATCATATATCATAACAATAATCATCACATGTCACGTGGCAGTCTCAGAGTAATATTAGTGTGGTTCATTTGCGTCTCGGATGATGTATATATATATATGTAATGTATAACAGTTTAACATCATTTGTATGTATTTGGCAGACATTTGCATGGGCAAGAGTCCATGCCCGAGATCTCAGATATACGCATTGATGCCCCGGCTACAATTATATAAGCACTCTCCCAAGAAAGAACCAAGGCAACATGTTGGGCCAGCAAACCGTGGCTGCCGTGGCTGTTGGTTGAACCATCGCATTGTATCATTCAGTACCGTACCTGCTTGTTTCACCATGTGTTTTGAACCACACTCTTCTTCAATGCCTGAGTTTAAAACACCAGCATGCTTTCGTGCATCAGTTTACGAAACACCATGATATGCGATATCAGTATAAATATTGCATATTTGCATGTATTTGTCAATTCAACCACCATAATGGCGTGTTAATACAACGGGTGACCTCCGGTCAAACGCTTTCTAGGATGGACAAACCTATTGTCAGAATCATGCAGTCGGATCAGCTTCCGAAACCTGAACAAACCTTTGATGCTGCCAGGTGGTGTGACTAAGTCTCCAATATAGTTCACTGCGTCTTGCATTTTTTTTGGTGGAATCATGTGTATCGTGTGAACATCAAAGTGTCCTATAATTACTGTAAATGAACATACTGTACCATAGTATACCTGAAGTGATGAAGTTTCAATCACCTCAGCTCAAGCAGTGACAGCAGTTTGGCTCCAGTTGACATAAAATCGGAGGCCTCCACTCACCTGCCTGCATCGCCTCTTCACCTCAGGCGAGTTCACAGATTGGCAGCGGGCAGCTGCACAACTCTGCCGCTGCTTGGTGCCATACGAAGGAGGTGGGAGGAGGCTGGACCCCTCAGGGTAAACCCAGTTCCTACCCTTTGGTGACAGCACTGGAGGTGGGGCACGTCTGTGCCCGCCACTCGGCAGGGCAGGTTGAAGATAGGACCGGCTATGTCAGCGGCCGAGGACATGAGCCAGCGGAGGTCTTGGTCTTTAGCGAGGTCTGGGACTACTACGAGACTTGCTGCGCCTCGGACCGGGGACATCTGGGACGAAGTGATGCGACTGTACTGACCGACTACCCTGCTCACGCTACCCAGACCGGCAGGGGGTAGCTGTTTTCAGTGGTTGAATGCGACCGGGAAGATCGCACCCATGACTGAGATGAAGGCGATCTTGAACATATAGATGCGACTGAATATCGCAAACCAAATCCGATGTTTTTCTTGGCTTCTGAGCCATCCATACCCTGCCATGCCCACGACCTCCTGAGCCTTTTCCGCGTTTGGTTGAAGGCGGTCAATTGGAAAACATGTCGAGGAAAATTCACGCAGTGAACTGCAGAAACATTTTTTGTTCAAGGGGGGAATCGATCTTAATGTATGTCAACATATTGCATGGTTTGGGTGCAAACCATGGGTTTCACGGGTGGTTCGACACCGTTGTCCAACCAATAGAGGTCACCGGATATATTCCAAACCTTCGATGAAATCACCCAGCCACCCACTACCCACATGCAAGTGTTGGTGTTCTTAGTTTTGTAGCATTACT